CATTGTTGCTGAAAGTGTGGGAGGAATGGGATGTGAAGGGAATGGTTCTTTTTAGTCTCACCTTACAAATCATCCTCTCTGTCTTAGGTAGGCGTAGAAAATGCAAAATTAACTATTTCTTCAAAGCCATTCTATGGTTTGCCTACTTGGGTGCCGATTGGATTGCCATTGCTACTTTGGGCAAACTTTCTGGCTCCCATGCAGAAACTACTGCCGCCAACGTCTTTAGAGCATATTGGGCTCCTTTACTCTTGGTACATCTTGGTGGCCCTGACACCATTACAGCTTATGCTTTTGAAGACAACAAGCTTTGGATTAGGCACCTCGTCATCCTTATTGTCAAGGTCATTTTGGTCATTTACGTTGTTTGTTTGTCATGGACCTTTTCTTGGCTCTCGTTTTTTAGTCTCCCTCTCATTTTAGCTGGAATTATTAAGTATGTGGAGAAGATATTGTGTCTCAAGCTGAATGACTCACAGAAAACAAAACCAATCTTTTCTAATATATTTAATCTTCGAGGTCATCCTGACCCCAATGAGAACCAAACCCTTGATCCCCTTCGTGAAGCAAAAGGAACCATTTTGTCAGCTTATCTGCTATTTACAATTATGAGGCTTGATGTTAATGATTACCTCTCCTCTGAAAATCTTCGCGATATTGGCACAAGGATCAAAGCTTATCTCAAGGAAACTATAGGTATGGATGGTGAAAAGGCTCTCGAGTTTGCAGGCAAATATTTTCCTCGAAGCTATGGAATGGACATTTTAGTTGAAATATATTCTATTCAACTAGGATTCATGTTTGATGTTGTTTACACCAAAGCTAGTTTGATTTACACCAAGTTAGGCTGCTTCTTGCGCCTCACTAGTTTCACTAGCTCTTTCTCAATTCTGATGCTCTTCTTTATCAATATCATTAATGAGCCAAAATTCTATGGCTCAAGAATTGATATTGCCATAACTGGCATCTTATTGAGTGGAGCTATTGCACAAGAACTTTATGCAGCATGGTTAATGCTTTCTTCTGATTGGGCAGTTCTTGTTGGGGAATTTCATCATAATGTGTTGGTACGCAAAATGTTTAAGGTCTCATTAAAGTACTTCCCTTGCTTATTGCATCGAAGTAAAAGGTGGTCAAAACACATGGGTCAATTTGATTTGTTGGAATATTGCTGGCATTACAAGAAAAGGGAGGCAAACCAATCACATGGCTCTCTACCGAAGATCAGTATTGGCAGTGAAATTGTTGAAATGTGGCACAAATACAGGTTTACTAAATTTGGGCTTGTTCCACATTTTTTGCAGCAAGAAGGAACTTACTATGAATTCATGGGGGAATACTTTTTAGATAGGTCCTTAAAGACAACAAGGGGAGGACAAGCATTGCAGAAATATCAAAAATCCGATCAACTAAAATGGAGCATTGAATTGGAGTTTGATCACAGCATCATAATATGGCATCTTGCCACAAGTGTTTGCTACTTACAAGAGGATAATCATGATGATGAAGCTATGAAAATTAGTAAACATGTATCAGATTACATGATGTATCTATTGGCCATGTGTCCTGCCTTGCTATTGTCCGAGCATAGTAAGAGTTTTTGGCTTGATCATGCTTGTGACAACCTCAAACAACTTGTGTCTCCTGCAATTGATATAAGAAATGCTGCTTCCAGATTACTTTCCAGACCAGATATTAATGTTCATGAATCCAGGTTTGATGTCTTTAATTTCTTATTTTCATAGAATTATAAAATTAGAATTAAAATAGTTTTATTTCTTTCTAAAATTCCATTGTTTTCCTTAAGTTGCAGGGAGGGAACTTCTGAAAACCTAAAAAGAGAAGTGAGGAAGCTAGTCAAATTTTTAAAGCGACCAGATAATAAGTGGGAGATGATTAGGGATGTCTGGATAGAGATACTACTCTATGCAGCAGTTTCAAGTCAGCACATTAATCACGTTAAGCAACTAGGAGAAGGCATTGAATTACTCTCACTCATTTGGCTTTCAGCATGCTCTAGCATGATGACTAGTATTCTTTCGAGTGGAGAAGTTTGACCAACATCTGCAAGCTTGGCGGCCTTATGTCTCATGTTGGAATTGCATACTTTAAGAAGTGGCAACGTAATTTATGTTATTTTCTTAAATAAATTTGTATCTAATATTTATTGTAAACTTTACTCTGTATAAATTAAACTCCAGAATGGTTAACTTTAAAAATAAATATTGTTTTTGAAACCTCGATTTAGTTGTAATTTTAAGTTTTTAATTTTAGTTTTAGTTTTTAAAAAAATTTACAAATCTTCAAATAAAATTAAATTGTTCAATAAAGGGTTAAAGCCAACTGTAGTCCTTGTACTTTGTGAAAATATTCATTACCATCCCTCGACTAAGGAAATGTTCAATATCATCCCTCTACTTTCCGTATAGTATAAATGTCATCCTTCTACTACACTTTTTTTGTTCAATGTCATCCCTAATTATGTCATCCACATTTTCGTTAATTTTGACCGTTATTATTAACAGTCAAAGGTTTAACTTTGTTTTCTACCAATTAACAAGTGGGATTAATTCTTTTTTTTTTTTTTTGGTTTTGTATTTTTGTATCTGGTTTATAGAGGATATGACGTGGAAAAATAGTGATAACAGAGGAATTGGTGCAAAAAAGAATGTGACCAAAATAGGCGGCAAAAAAAAAAAACAACGCTTTTAATTTGCTGCACTTTTGTTTTTTTGGTTAAGTCCTATTTTTTTGTTATGTCCTGTACAACCAAATGGTTACTTGTAATGACATTGCAATGTTGACAATGAAAGTGTATCTTTTTCCTACTTTAGTAAATCTTGCATTTATGCACAGCTAAAAATGCTCAAAAGGTTGACATATTTTGCTAATTAACATGACCAAAAAAGTCATATGTTCCATTTCATATTTGCAGTACATAGGAGATTGCCCAGGCTTAGCACAAGTGACCCATTACAAAAGTAGACAAAAAGACCTTACAAAGGCAAACAACTATCTAACACAACTTAATTGCCAAATAAGCAATACTGTAGAAAATACATTTTCAAATTCAACCAACTTGAAGCAACCATCTCATGATCTTTGAGCTTTTCTCATTTCAGAATTCAAATTCTTCAAATAGTTAGTCTCTCTATGCAGGTTTAGATTCTCTCTTTTCAATTATAAGAGTTCATTCATCATTGTTTGCTCCTTATCCCAGCAACATGTTATTCAGAATTCAGCTCAAGCCTCATCATCCTTGTAGAACAATATAAAACAAAAACTATTTGTATGAAAATCCAAATCAACCATAATACCACAGCAGATTTCAAAACCCAAAATTAACAGCAATTAATAACAAATATCACCAACCCAAAATCAATAAGAAAATCCACAATTAATAATAGATCTCAACAACCCAAATCCAACACAAAATCAACAAGAAAATTCACGATTGACAGTGGCTATCACAATCCAAAATCAACAAGAAAATCCACAATTAATAACAGATCCCACCAACCCGAATCCAACACAAAATCAACAAGAAAATTCACAATTAACAGTAGCTATCACAACCCAAAATCAACACAGAATCAACGAGAAAATCTACAGTTAATAGTAGCTTGTTCGAATACATTCTGGGTTGGGTGATTCTGTGATTGGTGAAGAAAAGCAAGATGATTTTTGGCGACTGTGGGTGATTTTGGGTTCGGCATTTTTGGGCAATTTTGGGCGATTTTGGTTGTTGGATTTTGTGGGTTACGGTGAAGATGGTGAAGAAAGAAAGAAAGCCAGAAAGTTAATGAAGAAGGGTGAAGAAGAGGAGTAACCAATTGGGTGAACTGATGAAGATGTTGCGTGATTTGGGTGAATAAAAGCAAGATGGTTTTCTGCAATTTTAGGCGATTTTGGGCAATTTTAGGCATAGGGTTTTCTGGTGAAGATGGTGAAGAAAGAAAGAAAGACGGAAAGTTGGTGAAGAAGAGGAACAAGTGAATGGGTGAACTGGTGAAGACAAGGAAGAAGGGCATGGGTTTTGTTCTGTCAGGGAAAATGGTCGTGAGGAAGAAAGAGAAGGAAATAAAAGCAAGAGTTAAAAAAAAAAAAAAAAATTGGTCCCAATTGTATTATTTGGTAAAAAAAAATTTAATAAACAAAGTTAAACTTTGACCGTTAGTAAATGACGGTCAAAATTAACGGAAATGTGGATGGCATCCAATTAGGGATGACATGGAACAAAAATGGAATAGTAGAGGGATAACATTTATTGTGAAAGAAAAGTAGAGGGATGACATTGAACATTTCTTTAGTAGAGGGATGGTAATGAACATTTCTTTAGCAAAGATTTGCCAAACCATTCTCCAAGGAGCTTTCACTTTCCGTTGAGCTACTCTCATCATCACTCTAAGTGGTGGCAAAAGCTTTCTTTTTCATGATCTTTTTGTCTTTCTTCTCACCCTTCTTCAAATGAGGGCATTCATTTCTATAATGCCCTATCTTGTTGCATTCATAGCACTTCACATTCTTTTTGCTAGCCTCTCCTTCATCTCTTTTTGCAAATTTACTCTTGAAGTTCTTCTCCTTCATGAATCTTCTCACTTTTCTAGAGATCAAGGTGGAGATGTCTTCACCATCACTGGCATCATCTTCACTTTCTTGTTTTTGTTTGCTAGCCTTGAATGCAACATCCTTCTTCTTCTCAACTACTTCAACACCACCATTAACTTGAACATCAATCTCATATGTCATCAAGTTTCCAATAAGATCATCAAGTTTGAGAGTATTGAGATCCCTAGACTCTTTTTCTTGGCTTCCCAATTCTTAGCCAAGCTTCTAAGAACCTTCCTCACCACTTCTAGAAAAAGATAAACTTTACCAAGAGCCTTGAGATTGGTGACCATATCATTCAATCTTGTATACATATCTTGACTGCTCTCTTTTGATTTCATCTTGAAAAGCTCATACATGTGAATAAGTCTATTGATTTTTGACTCCTTCACTTGGCTTGTTCCTTCATGTGTTGTTTCTAACATGTCCCATATCTCTTTAGCCATATCACACTCAAATGCTCTATTGAATTTTGTTGGATTGAGAGCACATTGGAGCATGTTGATTGCTTTGTTGTTGATCATGATCTTCCCCAAGTCTTCATCATTCCATTTAATTTCTTCCTTTGGCACCTCACTTTCTCCAACAACTTTCATAAGCACATATGGACCTTTCATAGTCACAATCCATGCCTTGGGCTCATTTGCAAGCATGAAGACCTTCATCATATTCTTCCAGTAATTATAATTGGTACCATCAAAGAAAAGAGGCTTAGCGGTGGACAAACCTTCAATTGGTTGAGAAGCTTGAAATTGAGCCATTCTTGATAAACTCCTAGGTGGTTAAACCTTCAAATTGGAGCCCTTGCTCTGATACCAATTGTTGGCTCAATGTACTCCAAGAGAGGGGTGAATTGGAGTAGAAAAATTTTCAGCTTTATGCAACCACCAAACAAAAATCAAAGAGAGAATAGGAAAGAAGAGCTTGCACAATGATTTTATAAAGGTTCAGTCCAACCACTTAGAGTCTAGTCCTCTACCTTGTCTTCGCTCACCAAAGATTTCCCCCACTCTCTCCATTAAGAAAAACAAGAGTGGCTTCAAGAAGCCACTCAATCCTTTTATAAGAAGAAAAGTATTTCTCTCGAATCTCACCATTTACAAGTTAAACCCCAAGAATCCTCTCTACAGATCACTCTTGAAGGAATAATCACACCCTTAAGATAACACACAAGTAGAAACAAAAGAGGATTACGAGTAAAGATCAAAAACTCAAGTTAAAGCACAAGTTGGTAGATAAAGATATTCAATATAATGCTTTTCAAACTTATTCTAGATATGCTACTAATCATATTTATAGCCCTATGGTCGAAAATAGTCGTTACTAGCTGTTGAGGGTCATTAAATGTTCCACAGGTCACATAATTTCGAGTTGCAAATTTGTTAGCATAGCTGGCTTAAAGTTTAAAGCCGGCTTTGTACAACCGGCTTAGAATTCTATAGCCGGCTTTGCGAGTTACTTGCACTTTCTGTTTTCTCCATAGATTTGGCTGCAAAATGTAAAATCGGCTTTGCGGGTTTCTTGCGCTTTCTATTTTCTTGAACAGTTGATTGCAAAACATAAAACCGGCTTTGGGATTTTGATTTTAAAAGCATTAAATAATCTTCAAATAACTCAATTGATGTGCATTAAATGCACCATCACAGCCGGCTACAAAGTTAAAGTCGACTTTGCATCTGTTTTTTATGCGTGCCAAACCTTTGACTTAAAATTTTCACCTGTAAAGCAGGCTGCAGATCTTAGAGCCGGCTCTCTGCATTTTTACTCCCCAGAGCCGACTGCAAATTTGTTTAAGCCTGCTCTCTGCACTATTTCCAGCCTTTTTTGGTCCATTTTCAATTCAATCTTAGTTTACTTATCAATTTATCAATTTAACTACACACTTAAATAAACCAATTAATTACTCAAATGTGTTTTGTAATCATCAAAATCATAGTTACAACACATTCGAGAGTTGTTTCCCTTTTTTTAGTCAATTCGCTCACTACTTCCACTCTCCAAAAGCTTCGTCTGTCCGGCATCGCCATTCATTAACAAATCTGATCTAAGTTCTCCCCTTCGGTGTCGGCTTCTTCCAATCGCGAACCAGAAATGGCAATCTCTTCTCAAGCTCCTGATATTCAAGGAGAGCGTCAATCTGGCCAGGACGTTCGCACACAGAACGGTACTTTTTCTCTACGTCTCTTCCCGTCTTTATGCGTGTTCTATTATCACCGTCGAAGTTATTTTGCTCAATAAATTGCAAAACTGAGTTGATTCCAACCTTATTGAAGTGTTTTCCTCGCTTTAAACTCATTTTTCTCACATTTTGGATGCGTGTAACAGTGATGGCATGCCAAGCAGTTGCCAACATCGTCAAATCCTCACTAGGCCGCGTTGGACTTGACAACGTATGTTTATGCAAGTGCCTTGTTTCACTGCTTTATGAGGTTTTAACTAACAAAGTATGACTTTTTATTTTGCATTTATGATGCCTATGGAAAATTAGTCGAGTTTGTTTTGGACAATATCTATTATCTATGGTATTGCTGTTGGTTTTATTTTTAAAATGTTGTTCAGATAGTTTAAGATTGTTAGGATTGGATTTGAGTTTGACTCACTGTGATTTGTGTTGTTTTATTTCAGATGCTTGTTGATGATATTAGTGATGTAACAATTACTAATGATGGTGCTACAATTCTCAAGATGTTAGAAGTGGAGCATCAAAGCTGCCAAGGTGAATTAGTAGTCAGATTTTTCTTTTCATTTTAGCTACCTTTGCCTCTGTTTGATTCATAATAAATGGTTCACTGTAACGATCATGGATGGAGATTTTAATATGTTTTGAAAATATTTTGAGATGTTAAAGGGGTTACTCTTGCTTTCTCAATTACTAGGGGAAACTGTTGATTTACAGGTGTTATATATTTCCTGTTTCTTAGCTCCGTTATTGATCTCTACTTGTCTGATTTCTTCTTCGACTGCAGGTACCTGCAGTAGAGTAGGCTGAGCTTCAAGACCGAGAATTTGGTGACGGTAGAAGATGATGATAATGATCATGCTGTATACCTCTATATATCTTTATATGCACAAAAATGGCGATGATTATGATGATGGTTTGGCTATGGATTGTGATGTAGATTAATATTTGGAAGGATCGGGAGAAGGCGCTGGGCGTACGAGTGCTGAACGCGGTGGCGGCTTTTGTTGCAGCGGAAGAGCTTGTCGGAGAAGCCGACGTCGCCGCACATGCAACAAACAGTCTGAAGATCCACCATTGTTGAAGGCTCCGAGGCGGCGGAGAGAGACTGAAGATGAAGAGAGAAGTAACAGAAAAAGAGTGATGATTTCAAGGTTGGTGTATAAATGTATAAAGAGATGGGGGGAAAAATGAAGATAAATAAAATATAAAGTTAAAGAAAAATAAGAGATTTCAACCTTATTTAAAATGTCAATAAACGACAATAAAAAATTAAAATATATTTAATAAGTTA